AATTCGGTCCTGAGGATAGATGATTCCTATGTAATCTTAGATCAGTGTTTCTCAACCTCTTGGCGGGGGGGGGTGGTGTCACAGACTCTTTTGAGGATCTAAAAAAAGGTATAAATGCTCTCAGCAGAAAAACTGACAAAAGTAGATGGAGCCCCAAATGTTGTATACAATTTTAGGGATCTACAGTCCATCTGGGTCCATGATAAGTTAACAAGAAAAACAGCACTCACTACATATGCCCCATGTAACTGGCCTGGGGTTCAAGGAGGGAGGGATGGGGGAGAAGAGAGCATAAGCAGGGAGAAAACAAGGAAGGACAAAGAAGAAGGAAGAAGTGGGAGACAGAAGAGGAGAGGGTAAAGGGGAGAAAGAGGGAGAAAAATCCTAATAAACTAGGACAGGGCACTCAAACTGTGTGTCACTTTCTTTTAGGTTTAGAGGCTACTATAGAAGAATTCCAGTTCATCTAAGGAAAACTGAAGAAGGAGCTCTGAATCACTGGCTTTCCCAGGTTTAATGAAATAACGGCCTCACTATCCGTCACTAGAAACAAGGACTCCTAGTTCTGCGTATGCTGTTTTCCCAATGCAAGAGAAAAAGAGTATTAAATTTAATGTGAACAGCAATTTTTTAAAGGCTGCCTCGTGATTCACTGCCTTAAACAGCTACCGCCCTTCTCCAACAGGGAGAAGGACAGAACACGTGGTACAAGGTGGTGGGGGGGGGGGTCCTTGGGATTGCTCCTCCCTCGAGGCAGATGCAAACTGGGGTTCAAATGAATGAAACAATGCTCACATAAAACTCAGAAAAATACTGGAAGCTAAGACCTAGACAAAGCTTTCCTGGGCAAGTTCCCTGTCTACTCATGTACGGTGTTTAACTGTGATTTCGCAGTCCAAATAGTTACTCTCCTTGTTCACTATTCCCTACTGATACAAGGGCTTTTGCTGGCTGAGAAAGGTGGCTTTAACTCAGAGAAATACCAATATTTGAACATGAACTGTGGGTCAGAAATCCTTTGCAAAATATATTTGACTCACTATTAACTGTTCTCAGCAAATTACTAGCACAGGTCTATTGCAGCTCAGGATCTATAAATAGAACAAGGCAGGAGGTGAGGGCACTGAAAGGTGTGTGCTTTGGCCTAATGATAAGAAAGGTTTCCTGGAAAAGACTCCCTGATTATTTTTCCCCAACACTATTGGCATAGATGGCACTCCTACGCGGAGTTCCCCTACTTGCATTTCTATCAATCACAATTAAAATACAAAGAAATCGTTTCATCATAGAAGAGAAGGAAACCTGCTTATTTGCAGTCATTTCGCTAGAGATCTTGCTTCAGAAGAATCAATGTCCTAGCCCTCAGACCTCCCTCCGTTTCCCTCCAGTCACTCCCACTGTTTCAACGCTCCTCAACGCATCCAGACCCCCGGAAGCTCTGCCTCATTCATGCAACCTTTCCTATGACCTTCCTTGCGTGCGTACCCCCTCTGCCCTGAACTCCTCCAGTTTCATTTCCCCGTGGGATGTTGCTTATATTCTGTCTGGTAAAGTACGGGGGGGTACGTGGCATTTTCACTAGACCCTGAGTTACTTAGCGGTAGGATCTAAATTTCACTGCCGTGTCCTTTAAGTCTGTAGGACGGTGTCTGACACACAGCAGGTGTTCAGCAAACATCCGCGGAACTGAGGGGAAAGTCAGTCCGCCTCGATCATCGATCATCGAGAGGCCTTCTCTAGCCTGCGTATTCTAGAACAGCCAGGCCACAGAGGGGCTGACAACCCCACAGACGCTAATGGTCTCACTCTAAGTGTGGCTTTGTGGTTAGGACTCAAGTCACACGGCCTCTGCCCTCTGTTCTTGCTGTTTCCTCTGCCTGGAAGCCTCTTCCTGACACATCTAGTTCTTCCTCTCATCTCCTGCTGATCTTTGCTCGGACCTTACCTTCCAAGAAGGCTCTGTCTCTCTTATTTAAGATTTCAGTTCCCCCTCACCTGTTATGGTGTGAATGTTTGTGCTCCCCGCAGATGCTTCTGTTGAAACGCTAATGTCAAGTGTGATGGTATCAGGTGGAGGGCCTTTTGAAAGTGCTTAAGTCATGGTGGAGCCCACACAAACGGAAACCATGCCCTTATTAAAGAGAACCCAGTGAGCTTCCTTGTCCCTTTCACCATGCAAGAAAAGCAAGGAAGTCAGCGACCGGAGAGGGCTCTCCCCCAAACCTGCTGGTACCCTAATCTGGGACGTCCAGCCTCTAGAACTGTAAGGAAGGAATTTCTGTTGTTAATAAGCTATCTAGTCTTTGGGATTTTTGTTAAAGCTGACTGAATGGACTAAGACACCTGCCCACCTCCTCCAGCAATGCCCTACCCCTCTTCCCGGTTTATTTTTCTGTATATCGCTCATCACCATCTAATAAACCATATATTTTACTTCGTTCCTTTTCTCATTTTCTACTCCACCCTTATCTCCTAGAGCATAAACTCTACAAGGGCAGAGATCTTTGTTCACTGTGTTTACTCTTTTACCCTCAATGCTTAGGACAGTCCCTGGCAGGTGAGGTACAAAGTAGTTACTCGACAGATCGCTATGACGTGAGTTTGAAGAGTGAATCATAAAGCATTTATAAAATATCTACTTTTTCTTCCAATGTTTGCTTCTACACAAGACAGCTGCTAGAAGCCAAGAAATACCACCTGATCAAATGCACCTAGCCCAGTGTACCAGCATCATTAGAGACCTAGCAATGCCTGGAAGAGGAGAGCAGGTGTCTTCCCTGACGCCATCACCAGAGATGAGGAATGTGCTTCGTCTTCCACACCTTCTCCCTTAACAACTGACTGCACAATTCATTCAATGAAGTAACTGTTCTTGGGATACCTTCCGAGTAGCAAGCAAGTACCAGGAACACATAATCACACTTGCTCACAGCCAGCTCCAAATAGAGAACAGAAAAATAAATAATGGCTGAAATATAAGGGCAAGTGTGACAGTCTCTACAAAAATGGCAAAAATGAAATAAACAAACAAACAAAAACGGTGCTATGAAAACATAAAGGCTGACAACATCCAGGGCGGGGAGTCTGGATGACACTGGCTTGAGTCTTGAGGGATCAGTGGGAATGTGACTAGTGGGGTTGACAAGAGGGTGAGAGAAGGCAATGGAAACTCCGAGTAGGGAAGGCAGTGTCAGGCGTGGCGTGAAGAAGTCACTGCCAGAGCCACACAGACAGGGAGCAATGGGACAAGGTGGAGGAGGGAGGGAGGATGAGCCCAGCCCACAAAGGACCTCAAAAGCCACACTCAAAGGTTGGTTTCATTCTACAGAACAATGAGGGACTGTTTGAGATTTTGTAATAGGGAATGAATCTGAACAGAAGTGAATATTCTTCTTGACTCTTTTAATACCTTCATCCCATCTAACTCCTTGGAGTCCTGCCTTTATGAGTATCCTAACTACCCTCCAGAGAAATGCTTCCACTCATTAGTCCCAGAAACCAGCTGCATTAGATTTGTAGTTTGTCCCTGCGCTCTTAAAGATTATAATCTCAAGCACGTTTGCTGAGTATAACAGACGTACGAAGAATAAACGAACAAAAAGAAAATAATCCCCCAGTAAGTTCGATGGGTAGGAACGCACTATCATACGTCATAGGAGCACACAGCCTGGGAAGTTGAGAAATCCTCCCCCAAAACTTCCTGATCACTTAAGGTCCCGCCAGCCTCTTACAGCTCCTGGTTTGGAATAATAGAATTGCAACAGCAGCTAAGAACAATATCTTACTATGAGTCAGGTCCCGGGTTAGGCGCTGGTGCAGAGTCTCATGTTTAATCTTCACAAGACATGGAGTCGATGCTGACTTGTCCTACTTTTACGCACAAGGAACCTAGGGTTTGACCACATTAAGTAGCCTGCCTCTAACTGGTCCCTGATATAGATCTTAAAGTGAGGTCTGACTGCAGAATACATCACCTTCACCCACCCTTAACATATGTTCAACAATTTTATTGTCCGTTGTATACATTTCTCATGTTCCCCTGAAGATAGGTTCTAGGAGAGCAAGGTGTACATTTTTTTTCCTTTTTTTTTTTTAACTTTTTTTTTTAATATTTTATTTATTTATTTGACAGACAGAGATCACAAGTAGGCAGGGAGGCAGGCAGAGAGAGAGAGAGGAGGAAGCAGGCTCCCTGCCGAGCAGAGAGCCCGATGCGGGACTCGATCCCAGGACCCTGAGATCATGACCTGGGCCGAAGGCAGAGGCTTGACCCACTGAGCCACCCAGGCGCCCTACATTTTTTTTTCTATTTCCTTCATTGCCTCACCTGTGAACTCAAGAACCACTAGGTGAATGAATGGCTACACTTTAAGGCACTGATCATATGTGATATAGGAGTTCAGCCATGGAAGACAGTCACTCTCCAGACAAATGGGCAAACAGCTTAACACTCTAAAGCCAAGAAAACTAGATCTTGAACAAATATCATACGGATGGCATTGGCGATGGGCAAGAAAGGGTCACCCAGAAGGCTCGGTGCCCTGGGAACGCTCACCAAAATCTCATATGCGTGTGGTCAAGGGACCGGACTGAATGTGGGTTGACAGGGTGCCCAAGAAGGATCTGAGGAGAAGAGCGGTCAGAAAAATTCTTCCTCAGGAAAAAAAAAAATGACATGACTTCTTAAAACGATGGGTTTCCTGGAATTATCAACCAGAGAAGCCCACCTGATTTGCAAAAAGACGCCCTGCTGCCCCATCCACAGGGTCAAAGAAAGCAACGACTACCACTCAGTGACAGCAAGTTCCCAGACCACCACCTGGCCAGGGGTAAAGGAATGTGCCCCCCGCCCCTTTGCGTTTCCCCACAGCCCCAGCCCCAGGCTTTACGTGGAGCACGTATGGGACTGAAGTGGGGGCCGACAAGAGTGTAACACACACTCCGCACCCCCGAGGAGCCCAGAGCCATGGTCCCCGGTGCCGCTCTTGCTCTGGATTTACCGTCATTGACGCTGTCACCGGAGGTAACGTGGGAGAACGGTGACTGGGCCCGAGGCTCCTCACACAGGGAGTAGCTGTGCTCGGCCTGGATGAGAGGCGCGGGGGATGTCGGGCACGGCTCCACCTCCATCGACACGCTCTTCTCTGAGAGGAAAGGGTCATTCAGGAGCTGACCCAGCACGTTCTGGGAAAACTCATCCAGGAGTTCTGAGAAGTGCTACGAGACACAAAAGAGGAAGAAGTCTTAACCATGACCTGAGAGTTACCCAACATCCTCGGGCAGATCTGTCATCTGCTGCTTCCGATGAAGTCACTTACACACAACATCCAGTCACCTGTGGCTGGGGAGCAAACTACCCCAAAGTTTAGAGGCTTCGAATAACTACAATTGGTTATTCTGCACTACCCTGTGGATTGGCTAGGCACACAAGCTCATCTCATGTGAGCTCCTTGAGCTGGAAGGTTGGCTGGGAGCTACGTGGAGCCGGGCCAGCCGAACGCCTGGATCCTTCCTTCAGAGACCGCAGCAGGCTGACATTCTTCCCAGCATGCCAGAAAGACGCTAACAGGGAGGAAAATCAAAGCTGAATGGCCTCAGAAGTCGCACATCAACACTCCCTCCACATTCTTTTGCTCAAGGCAAGTGACAAGGCCAGCCCAGAGGCATGGGCTGGAAAAATGGACTCTACCTCCTGACGAGAGGAATGGCAAAATCACAGCAGACAAATGTGGGTGGAGGTCAGTGCAGATCACTAGAGGCCATCACTGGAACTATCTACCACATTTTTCATTGGGAATATTTTTAAACACACTATCCTGTATTTCTACAGCATGAGGGTACTATTTATAGCAAGGTGCCAAGTTCAAAGGCATCAGAGGCCGCTTCCCTCTGCTCTCCCCACCACTTAGACTCTGTTCCTTTGCAGTTTGCCCTTAATCTCTTCTCATCCTCCATCTCCACTGAGTCTCCACTGAGTCCAACATCACTGAGTCTCTAGGCCACACCATGCAGTGAACATGATACAGGAATGGTCTACACACACATTCACAGGGACTCCTGGATCCCCTGTTCCACAGTCCCACAGGTACAGCCCCAACCTCTCTCCCTCACGGATAGGGGGATGTTCATGGTATGAGGGTATGTAGAACAGGGTTTTTTCAATCTCGGCACTATGGACATTTTGGACCAGATAATTCTTTGTTATGCGGGGGAGGAGGGCGGTTTCCTGTGTTTTAAAGGATGTTTAGCGCCTACTCAATGTTAGTAGCACTTCCCTAGTTTTGGAAACTGGAAATGTCTCTAGATTGCCAAATGTCCCTGGGTTGGGGGAATGGAGGAGGGAATCATCCTTGGTTTAGAACTACTACTACCGACTACATTAAAAAATAATAACAACAATGTGATATGGTGAGTGCTGTGAAGTGTGTAAACCTCCCGATTCACAGACCTATTCCCCTGGGGCTAATAATACATTATATGTTAATAAAAATAATTAATACAAAATAATAACAACAAAATTAAATTAAATATGAAAGTCCCCTTTGGCACCAGCTGCTAGAACCATTTCATCTTTCTTAAGCTTCCTGAGTCACAGACTAATAGTGTCATCTTTATTGATTAAATTTTAGGGACACTTCTGGTATAGAAAGAAAGTTACAAAAGCAGATACAACAACTGGAGAACTGATTGCAAAAGGTGATGCCTAGGGTAGGCAAAGAAAACTCTTGAGATCCACATGCATACTAAGCCCTACGACTGTAGGTCGGGGAAGGTGTTCTGAAAATGAACACACCTTGGGGATGGGAAGGAAGGAGGTTAGAGCTCTAAGATTATGGTAGTTCTAGGATACAACTTCCCCTTTAATAAAGGAGAGAAGGAGACAACACGGAAGAGGCCCTTGTAGGCGAGGTCCTCAGAGTCGAGTTTTGCCAACATCACCAACATATGTGGCTGCATCTCATTGGGACAGAATACAGGAAAGCCATAGGCTTGAGCACAACCTGACAGATATCAGCCATCTACAAGAATAAGAGAGGCACTTGGGGATGAATTCTCTGCACACAAACACATTTAGAACTGAAAAGCCCCTAGAAGCATCTAAGGCAAGAATTCCCAAAAGTCAACTGCCTGCATCACAATCGCCAGGAGACTTTGTTTTAGTCATTTTATAATGAAATATTTAAGACATTCAGAAAAATTATAGAAAACAGTACCACGAATAATTATGTATCCATTCCTTTGGGGACAATCTTATTTTTCCATGTTTCCTGCTGCAACGTTTTTTTTTTTTTCCTTTACTCTTTCTTTTTTAAAGAAATAAAACGTGAAGGGACTATTAAAGCTCCCACCCATTTCCCTTCCTCCCTCCCAAAGTTAACCAACACCCTGAACTTAGTTATCATCCCCATTCAGGTCTTTATATTCTTCCTACATATGCATATTTCCACTACATACATAAGAATACTTTAAACTTTAAATAAATAGTACCATCCCTCACACATCCTTCTGCACCTTTATTCTCTCCAAAAACATTTTTTAGATTCATTCATCTTTATACATGCAGCTCTATTTCATTCATCTGAACTTCGGACTTGTATTCCATTGTATTTACCTATTTCTTCTTTCTTTAAAGATATTATTTATTGGGGTGCCTGAGTGGCGCAGTCCTTAAGCATCTGCCTTCGGCTCAGGTCATGATTCCAGGGTCCTGGGATCGAGCCCTACATGAGGCTCCCTGCTCTGGGGGAAGCCTGCTTCTCCCTCCCCCACTCCCCCTGCTTGTGTTCCCTCTCTCACTGTGTCTCTCTCTGCCAAATAAAGAGATAAAATCTAAAAAAAAAAAAAAAAAGATTTTATTTCTTTATTTGACACAGAGAGAGAGTACAAGCAGAAGGAGCAGCAGGCAGAGGGAGAAGCAGGCTCCAGGCTGAGCAAGGACCACACCCGGCAACTCAGGACTCGATCCCAGGATCCTGGGATCATGACCTGAGCTGAAGGCAGATGCTTCACTGACTGAGCCACCCAGACACCCCTTTATCTGTTTCTTCTTGAGAGATATCTAAATATCTCATTATTATATGTGATACTATAATAAACATTCTTGGAAATGGTGGGAAATTAAAAAAAAATATACAAATCCTCTGACCCACCTTCGGAGGTTTTGAGTTGTTCAAAAGCATCCGTATGAAAACCACCCCCACCACCTGTGGTTCTAATGCTCACTTCAATTTTTCAACCTCCGAAGGGTGACCCCAACCCTACTCACCACCCCCAACCCCACACACCCCACTTTACAATTAGTTCCCTAGAAACTTACAATGTCCCTAGAGCCTGAGCTATGCGCAAGTCAGAGGAAGACTCATGGCTTATTGAGCCACCATGTGTTAAACCTGAACTAGGTATTGGGGATACGAAATAATAAGGAAGACAACAGAAAAGCCATGCCTTTCCTGGGCTTGCCATTTAGGCCAGTGCTTCTCACACTCTGATGTTCCCATGAATCCCCTCAAGACACAGATGGTGACTCACAAGTCCAGTGGACCTGGGGGTCTGCATTTCTAACCAACTCCCAGTTAATGCTGCTGGTCCACAGACCACGCTCTGCAGAGCAAGGAGCAGAACACCTGCAAGGATAAGGTTAAGAGCCAGGTTTCCAGACTATAAGATCACTCGAAGTCAGGCTCCAACTCCCTCAGCGGGTCCCCAAAGACAAATTTCGTGGTTGCCTGAGGGTGAATATTCTGTAAGTATCTGACAGAGTTCCTTCCGAGGCCAACGTTCAGGGAGCAGAAAGAGAAATAAGTAACACGACATTAAAATGCAAACTCAAGAGCCGAACTCATAGTCCCTGTATTTCCCAGCCACAATTTGGTCCCCTGAGCGACAATGTCCACTCTGGCCAGCCGTGCTGACCCTGCTATACCTCTGGAATCCCGTTCTACCCTGAGCCAAGGCTCTCTTTGACTGCCCTGCTTTCCCACGGAAGCCGCCAGGTTGGGCTACTCAGCGGACACCGTTTTCCTTCTCCTGAGCAGGAGTAATGAATGTTTTCGTGAACATCCCCCAGATAACCAACAATAAACCTTCTCTAACGCTGCTAACTGTCCCTGAACTCCCTCTACTTCGGGTTTTGTAGTAATTACCACGTTGCCGAACAATGTAGCCCTAAATGATAGACAGTCCTGAAGAACTTGCAGTCGTTCCTGAAGGCAATATGCTAACCTCCCCTCTGGGAAAAGAACCTCCTTGGGAGAAGGACCAGCCAAACCTGACTGCCACCCACACCTAGGAACTTGGCAAGGTGATGAGCACTGAGCAGGTCCCAGGGGGATATCTGTGATTGAAAAGATATTGTCCCAACTTGTCCCAGCCGGGTGCTGTGACTCAGCCTAGCTGATCAACTCCTGCTGGGCCTCCAATGGCAGCTGGGGGCTCAGGGGCTCAGCAGACAGGCCACCATCCCCCCAGCTGGTGCAGGGACGAGGCCAGAACCAGCCCATCATTCCTGGTAGCCGCTGAGAGGGGGCATATGGTCTTGGAGCAAAGTGAACCTCCCCAAACAGCCTTCCTGGATCCTGCAAACACTTGAGCAAAGGACCACGCACATGAATCTGAGGGTTATGAAATGTTAATTCGCATGGCATAATAGCATTTACCATTCTGCCTAAGACTCTGGTCAAGCTGTCTGAATTTACAAGGTATTTTCATAGCTCTCCCCTCAATGAGTGCCCACAAGACCTCAGTCGCCTACTGCTTGAGTGAGGCCTTGAACTGAGGTCCTCTTATTTCAAACTGACCGAACTTGTCCCCAGTATTTCTTCTAGAAAGAGGTGCTGGAGCTTCATGATCCAAATGCATGGAGAAGTTCCATCGGGTATAATGCCAGGAAGCTGCCACGGATCCGCGATGACGTGGATGGGACCAGGTGCCAGGCTGTCTGGAGGAGAAGCGCTTCACCTATTAGACTCCCAGAAAGCGAGCGAGGTGCTCTCCTATCAGGCAGACACATGTCCATTCACCAGTGAGAAAATGGGGGTTCGGGGAAGTCAGGTGCATTGCCCGGGGTTGGGGCCACAGGTTTCGAAGCCACGCACTTTCCACTACAGAATGTGGCCTCACTGAAGTCTGTCTCCAAAGCTGACCTGTCGCGGGGGCTTGAATTTCAAAACATTCATGTAGATTTCACAGCCCGTCCACTCGTCCACCACAAACAGAGT